TAACAAATTATGATTAAATATTCCCCTCCTCAAGTTGAGGATTTAAATATTTAGAGTTAGAGCTCCTGGCATTCGCCTCTTGTTGTTACTTTCGCCAGCTCTGTCTAAGTTGTATACTGGCTTTAACATCTTGATAACCGGTGTTTTAAAATAGACGCCGTTGACAAACTGAGTCAACTTGAGTACTTTGTTTTATGAGTGGTCTCAGACTACTTTTAACTACAGTTGAAATTTAATTTTCTGTTATAAAATGATAATTCCAATTTCAGTGTAATCCTTTTATAATAACTGTGTGTACACGCTGCAAAAATACATGTCCATATTTAAATAGTATTGTAACACCGTTGTGACACATTCGAGTGCATATAATTTAAAGCACAGTGTAATCTTATTATAACAACTACGTGCATAAAAGTGCTTAAGTGAATAAAATGCATAAACTGCGTGTCCAGGCTTGATGAACATTGTTCAGTTGACCGCAAATTAAAAAATTACCTGCTCCATCTTTCCTAAAATGTGAGTATTTAAGTATTAGTGTGATCATATGGTAATAATTGCGTGTAAATATTATAAATTTAGTATAATTACACTGTAACTATTGAATGCATATCATGCACATGTAAACAAATTGCATGAATGATAAATATTTGTAAATATCTTATGAGCTGTTCGTCAATGTAGCCAACAAATGTTCAGTCTGATCAAGTCTGTAATATTGTAATTTGAATCTTGTAATAGCTATGTAACCATTGAATTTAAATGCAGTACCATAAATGTTTCAGTAACACAGTAAAGACATAAGATTGGAACAAGCGGTGGCAGAGCTTGTGATGTCGGTTACACCAGACAACAGTTGCATCTCGGCACCAGAATAGCATCGTAGGACCAGGAAGACGTTGTTAATCTGGATAACTAGTGAAAAGGGCGTTTAGCTGTTTACGTAGTTAAATTATTGGTGGTCCTTGGTTAATAATTTTGGACTGCTTAATTTGGCTTATACTTAAGCTTATAAGGTATTTCTCCCCCTTTCCTAGCGTGCTTTCGTGGTGTAGTGGTTCTGCACGCTGGGCGGTATTCCACAGGTCTTCGGTTCGATTCCCGGCGAAGGCGTTTGCTAATTTTTCATCTTTCCGGCTTTTCCAATTAAGCTAATGACTCTACAGTGGCGCCCGAAAAGGGACACTCCCGGAGAGATGAAAAAGGAGCAAACGCCTCGCGCGGAAAATCGAACCGCGGACCTCTGGAATACCGGCCCAGCGTGCAGAACCACTACACCACGAAGGCGCGCTAGGAAAGGGGGAGAAATACCTTATATACGCCCCCTTTTAAAGGGCGACTGGGGCTTTTAAGGGACCCAATCGCCAAATCCTGCGTGTGAAGAATCATCATCCAACACCCTTTTAGTTCGGGCGTCACTGTATAGTCATTATGTATTTTTTAGAAGCAGAAGAATTGAAAAATTAGCAACCGTCTTCGCCCGGAATCGAGCCACGGACCTCTGGAATACCGGCCCAGCGTGCAGAACAACTAAGAAGAAGGCCACCAAGAAGGCACGCTAGGAAAGTGGGAGAAATGGTGTAGTGGTGTATTTAATTATGGCAAAGCACACTAGGACCTGCCTAAGGGGGAGGGATGCCTTCGTGGAGACGCTAAGGGAAACTGGCTCGTATACTTGTTTCACATGGGGAAAACTACGAAAACACCCATGCAGCTAGCCCGTTCGCGGGATTCGAACCTCGAACCGAACTACCAGTGTTCAGCGACTTTACCGCGCGGCCGCTGGTGGGCTAAGTGGAAGAAATACCTTATAACCTAACCTATGTTAATTTAAATAGCCGAATTTCGCGGAGGTACACCTGCCGCCACAAGCTGTGCTTTTATGTCGATTTAAAAATTAAATTAATTTGTGACTTTTTTAAAACTAGGCGAGAACTCGCTATCAATCTAGTAGGGTTTATAGAACTTGACACTAGCTTCTAGGTACAGTATCTTACAAAACTTTCCGTTTCCTTTTTAGAGCACCGTTTACTTTCTTTTCCTCTGAACCAATTGCGTTAAAGTTTATGGACACTTTTTTTATAAAACAGACTGCGTGTCTTTTCTTTTATGTTCTTATAATAACTTGAATTTATTGAAATAAAGAAAAATTAACGTTTTCCCTTCCTATCTTTCCATGACACTGTTTATTTCCTTTCCCCCCTTTGCAACCTCTTTTTTACTTACCGGTATGCCGTTTTGCTAATCGATTGACCTTAGATACACAATCAATTGAATTAGATTCCTCAATCGATTGAACTATATAAACACAGAAGATCGTACCTGTTTTGTATATAATTGTGTTTCCGAAATTTATTAATGAAAATATCTGTTAGGTAAACTGACTTCAGATTTTGATCACGTTTGTTATTGTCCAGTATCATAATTTGCTTGCTGTAAACAGTATATTCAAAATATTTCTGAAAATAATTTATCAGAAAAACTAAAATGGAACTCGCATAATAATTCAGATCTTTATAAGTTTTGCTGAGATTCTTTGTAGACAGTAGTGTTTTTTACGTTTTTTATACTATTTTAAATGTAAATACAGTCTTTGTGGATTAACCGGGCCTTTCGTAAAAAAAAAGGAAGTTTATTTATAGCAGAAAAATGGAAAAATAACTATAAAAACTATGAGAATAAAGCAAACTTTATATAGGAATTATGAAAAAGGAGAAGAAGATGCCTGGAAGATAGTGATAGAAGATCCTGTCACTGTATTTTATAATTTCTTTTTATTCACAATAAGACATAATTTGATTGCAGATAATTTGGAATATATGAACACTGTTAAATCACCTGTTAAAATAAATTGCTAAACGGTCTTATGTCTTTTTTTTTAACTGCTGTCCGATTAATCGTGACTTTGAACTAATCCTGGTCATCGTCCCCAATATTAACCTGTTTAATTGGGTATTTACTGCATGCTATAAGGATTATCATCTTCAGTTAGCATATATTTTAAAATTATATTTACATAACACATATTTTAAAATTTCCATATTATGCAGCATATATTTTATAGATTATATTGACAAGCATACATTTTAAAATTATTCTTTATAATTTTAATATATGTTTATAGCATATATTTTAAAATTTCCAAATGTAAAGGAAGCATCGCAATTTAGTTTTGTATATTTTGTACACAAAGCAGCTACGAGATTTATAAGAAATATACATTTCTTATATATCTCGTAGCTACTCTACACAACATTTAACAGGCGGTAATGCCATCCAAACGGTGTAGAGCTTATTGAAACCAACTGCTATACCGATGGGCCTGGGTTAGAATCTCGGAGAAGGCATGAATGTTTGTAAGTGTATATTGTCTGTGTGTCATGGGGATACTCAAAATATACAGCGAATTTAAAGTCTTCTCGAATCGATCAAATTGGGGGGAATATCAAAAATAATAAACATTTCCATCTCTGTCGGGTTCACCAACGATCGAGCGGTAAAGTCGCTGAACTGGTAGTTCGAACTGAAAGCGAACAGGCTGGCTGCATGTTTTAAAGCGTGACGTGGTTGCAAGCCAATTTCATTTAGAAAGCTCTCCACAAAGGCATCAATTCCCTTTTCACGTTTTAGTAAAATAAACAGTCACTGTTAAGTTACAATTTTGTGAATATCTATTGGAAGTTATTTCCATAGTTCGGTAACATATTCTTAAAGTATATTATGACTTCTGTTCTGAAATTTTCATATTTTACTTTCCTTTTGCAGTTTCAAAACTGCAGAAATAACTTTACTTCTTTTCCTGCTGCATATTTGAGTAAATGATGTTTAGTTTCTCCTTAAAGAGCTTTTCTTCTTATTTAGTATTGCTGCTATATTTTATCAATTATTATTGCTTTGAGAATTTTTCTGACAAACTGTTGCTATTTTTTATGTTAATTATCATTAGCAATTTCGTTACTTTGGAAAGATAAACCTGTAAAATTTCAGCTATTGTAGTTTTATTCCTACAGTTTTATTAATTAACATTTTGTTTCAGTATTTAGATAACATTGAATATTTTTAATAACATTTTCTATTGATAACAGATTTCAGGTATTAGCGAATATGCAAATATGTATAATGCTTCAGCCTTTAAAAGTTGCTTTACATGTTTTTATTAAACTTTTCTTACCAGTTTCTGCGCATTTTCTTCACCATTATTAAAACACTTATTTTCTTTATTAGTAGTTAAGATAAATGCATTGCCAATAACATTATGTTGTACGTAAATTGATATTTTTGTTTCATATTTATGAATGAAACTTTTATGCATATTAGATTGCTAAGTGGAAAACGAAATATTATCAACCCTTTTCAAATGCGGCCTACCAGCGGTCGAGCGGCAGAGACGCTGAACACTGGTAGTTCGGTCCGAGGTTCGAATCCCGCGAACGGGCTGGCTGCATGGGCGTTTTCGTGGTTTTCCCCCTGTGTAACGTGTGTACGAGCCAGTTTCCCTTAGAATGTCCTCCACGAAGGCCTCCCTACATTTAGGCAGATAGCCCTCGTGTGCTTTGCCGTAATTGAATAATCCTAATCCTTTTCAAATACAATTAAGTGATATTATGTTTCTAGATGCAAACATTTGCGTCCTAAAGAGACTGAAGCTGTTTATATAAGATGCTTTCGAAAAAGAAAAGCTATTATTATCCTATCCTTTTAATATGTAGAAGCTGTTACATTATTTTCTTACTTTTATAAGTAAATAATAGTATAATGCAGGTTGATTCCATTAACAAGCAATAAGAAAATAATCCCGAAAAAATTAATTTTCCTCTAAATTCTGTCGAACGACATACATGGCGCCAATTTTACGTTTACCTCTAAGAAAAGAGCTTACAAGAATTCTTTCTTATTAAAAGAAAGCTATTCTTGAAGAAAGTTTGAGCCTTAATAAGTAAAGTAGAGGGCTTTGGGATATAACCTCTTCAGAATGGCCCAATTAGAATTAACGAAGTACTTACCGGGATGCCGTTCTCCCACCAAGTGATCTCAGGGGGAGGTTCCCCCTCAGCTGTGCACTCCAGAATTACCGGAACACCCCATGTGACGTTGTATACTGTCCGTCCACCCTTCACTTTGGCTGGAACTGCAAAAGGAATTTAATTAATAGGACAAGATTTTTTTTTTCCATTTTCGAAGAAAAGAATAAAAGTTTGAGGGTTCGAAAGTTGTGTGAATTTTTTTTCAGTTTTTATTTTTAGCGTATTCCTTATCAGTTTATAAGTCGACGAATTCTTCCGTTTATTGGTGTTTTATTGGAGTTTTAATCGGTGTAGGGTGTTGGGAATCGGTGTAGGGTGAAACGTTCGAAAAGATCTTCGAGATTCAGAATTAATATTTTTTATCTGCTTCTTCCAGGAAGTCGTTATTAAAGTTTAAGAGGGAGGAAAATGAAGTTAACAAAAATGCTTTTGCTTGAATTTTACTTCTTATTATCTAAGCATATGAATTACGAATAAATACAATTTTAAATGATCACAAATATTAGTATTCTTTATAAATCTAAATAATTCATGCGTACTATTGATTAATATTTTGTAAAACGTAAGTCTACCAAAAAATGAAAGTTTCTTCCTGTCAAAAACGAACCCTCCCTCCCAAAAAAATATGCAGTTTTTAATTTTTCCTAATATTTGATTCCTAGTTTCTGATAATAATATATGTCTGAAAACGTTGCAGAAAATTTATTTAATGTAACAAATGTAAAAACCAACAGCTATATTTCTTCTTATGCATAAAAATTACAATGATTTTCTTTATCGATCCCCTTAAATTCTTCTGTACCGATACCTAATAAAACATAATCATACAACAAAGAATTCGCGCATACGTAACTTGCAATTAGATTAAGAATATTAATAAACATTTTGAAAAAAATGGTTTATTAGATTTAGGTTTAATTATTTTTTGTGTGATTATTATTTTTAATTGTAAATATATAAACACATTTTCGGAAACAAAACCGCAGATTCTAATGGCACAAAAGTTCGATTTTATTAATGTGATGGCTGCGCTAAATGCATTACAGCAATTTTTTTAATAGTTGGCACAAAATTGCGTAATTTAATTTTTAAATCATATCGTTCAAAAATATTCCACCTGTTTTTTGTTTTCCGTTCCAATTTTTGGTTCTTCGTATTTTCTTAATTGTGTTTTCTTGCGCTCTTGCGTTTTATACTTTATAGGACCCTTATTGCGCAAAAAATTATATATTTGAAAATGCTATTTATTTCGAAAATATATTAAATAATTTTAGTTTATTTTATTTTTAAATAAACAATGATTATTTTATACGATTTTGAACAATGATATAATGATATTTGAAAGATCTTTTAATGAACAATGATATAATGATTTATAAACAATGATATTTTATACAATTAATTTGTTACTGTTGCCCACCAGCGCCGAGCGGTAAAAGCCACTGAACTATGGTAGTTTGATCCGGGGTACAAGTCCCGGCAAACTTGCTGGCTGCATGAGCGTTTTCGTAGTTTTTCCTACGTGTAACGCTGATATGAGTCAATTTCGCTCAAAAAGGCTTAATAATAGTGTTATGTAGAGAAATTATCTGATAGCGTTATAAAAAAAAAAATTAGGTGAATGATTTTATGATTTATGGAAATTTAAATTTTATTTTGATTCTGAATTATTTAATTTAAGGCTTTAATTTTGGGAAGAAACAGATGCTTCTGGAAATATTTAGTTAAATGAATATTATTTTTATTTTCTTTTATTTGCAAATCTTGTACAAACTTTTATTCATTGTGAAAGAAGCAGGGGAGGCAATTTTCGCCAAGTCATGATTTCGCGCGCTTTAGAATGTTCGAGAAAGAATTTTCATTGTTAGTTGACCTTAAGAGAGGAAAGTACGTGACGGAAAGGTCAAAGGTTGCTACTTGTCTTTCAATGTAAGTCATTCAGGTTTTTGGCGATTGAGGGTCCGGTTGTTGGCTAAGTGAAGAAGGGTGCTCATGCGCGATCACCCTTATTTCCGCATTCTGGAGTTGAAAACGAAGATTTTGCCATAATTAAGGGGGCGATAAGTGAAGCCATAGTGGGAGCCCGTTTTGGGAAGGAGACGAAGGAAAAAATTCGAGTTGGATTGAGACTTGCTCTGGACTCACGGACTCTTTGACTCGCTGATTTTCGGGCTTGCTGGACAAAATGTAATTACGAAGCGGGATGTTTTCCGGCGGGGAGCGGCAAATATGCTCCCCCGGCCGCGTTTGGTTAAGAGGCGAGACACACTTACTCTGGACTCGCTTAGGCACTCTCTGACTGACTCGCTGATTTTCGGGCTTGCTGGACAAAATGTAATTACGAAGCGGGATGTTTTCCGGCGGGGAGCGGCAAATATGCTCCCCGCCCGCGTTTGGTTAAGAGGCGAGACACACTTACTCTGGACTCGCTTAGGCACTCTCTGACTGACTCGCTGATTTTCGGGCTTGACGTACTTGTTGACGGAGACTGAGAAAAAACTTGTGGGTGTTGCGAAGGAGAAAGGAAAAGATTTAGTCGGCATCGAGCTGTGCTTCCGGCGGGGAGCGGCAATTATGCTCCCCGGCCGTGGGTTTTCGCAAAAATGCGAGGGAGAAAGAAAAAAATTGCTGAGTGAATAACAAAACAAACTGTTGAGCAAAATAACAAAAAATTAACAAGAGACTTTGGTCTATATCTGTATCGGCAAAAAAAGTCAGGACGATGTCCTCTGAACTTTCCGACTTGAAAACAGAAATGACTTGGAAAGAATTATGTCATCTTAGACAAACTGGAAACCTGCGTTAGCCGTTCTCTAAAATGCCTAGCTTAATAATAAACACCTAGCTTAAATTGTCTACGTTTTCCTTGGTGGAGCTGAGAGTCTAGGCAGACAGCCGTGCGGTGCAAGCTGTTCTCTTGCTTCCAGTGGGAATAATTTTCTTCTATGGAAACCAGTAGCAGGCGTAAGATTTGACGGTATAGCTGATGTAATTTATTGTCGTGCCGTTCGAGTCTCTGTCTTGCGGATTTGCCAAGAAGTGACGTAAGGATAGAGCTAAGATATGAGCTCTCCTCCACTTCAAGATGTCCACTCAAGATAAGTATTATTTTTTTTGGTGTGTGTTGGAACTTTAGGCAAGTTTTTTCAAAAACGTCCTTAGCAGTAAAAAAACAACGTCGAATCTAAAATTTAACTCTCAGGCCATAAATTGTTTCCCTTCCCTTTCTTTTAAATCACCAGACAAACCTTAAGTTTTTTTTTATGAATTTAAATGAACAGACTCTCAGATGAGGTTAAGATTTTTCTTATGTGTGTTGTAATTGATAAACTGATATTTAATCTGGAAACTCTTACAGTATGTTTTCTTTATATATTTAATATGAACTTTTCCTTTATATCTTGTATATGTTTTATGTTTTCGATCCTCTCACGGCGCGGTCCCGGAATGCATTTTTTTCACAACGCAAAAATGCTGTACACGTTTCACTATACGATCACTCCCTTTAACGGCAAGTAGTTTCATATTTAACATTTAACAATATAGGAATTTCAGATATAACATGGTACCTAGAAGTAAAACTATTTAACCTTGGTGTCGAAACATTCATCATAACAATAGCTTTCTCACTTTCCTCACAGAACACTTCCTTTCCGTGTAATGCCTAATGGCGGAACACATAACAAATACTTCCTCACTTTTTGTATGATACAACTATTTTATAGATAAATAATTAGTTATAAGTTTTTATTAATTACTTTTTAATCACTGGGAATTTGATTATTCCGGTAAATTGCCGGTGCATAATCGGTTATCGATCCCCAGTCGACCCCTTGATCATCATTGACCGCCTTTAAAATTTCATCTACATCTAGTTGGGAACCCTTGGATTAGATATTTCAAGAAACAATCTTAAAAATTTTCTCTTTTTGTAAAATTAAGAATGTAATACTTAATTGTCAAAATTATGAATTCAGTGCAATATTTCATGAAATATTATTTGCTTTGATGTATAAAATTACCTGAAATTTATCAATGAAAATATATTTTTTCATTAGAATTATATGTTTTATTGAACTCCACAATCCTTTTTGAAATGGAATACAGTAAATGAAAACATAAAAATCCTTATACTTGCATTATAGCAAATACAGAACTGAAGAACAGAACTGAAATATTTCACTGTCAGAATGTGCCTTTCACTATCCGAAGCAAATTTTATCAACACTATCAGAATGCGAAGTGTGATTTTTTTGGAGCCTTTGAGATAGAGGCTTCAGTCATTGATAATTATATGACTAAACAAGGGTAGTTAAAATAAAGGCAGACTGCTGGTGCTTGAATGGTTGATTTACCTCTTCCCCAGATAATAGATCTCAATCATGCATCGAGAATCACCATATAAATGTTCGTGTCTTTGTACATCAAGAAGGCGAGGAATTTCCTTATATCAGAGTAATTGTTAAGGTAACTGAAAGATGTAAGAGAAATATGTTAAAAGATCAGAAAGAATTGTTGTCAAAGGCCATAAAACAGCGGCAGTTCCGGTTATTACACAGCTTATCATTTCCCTGAATTCATCCATTTTCACAAATATTCCCTGTTGGAAACTACACGTGGTTAATATCCACGGTCGAGCAACCATAACAAAGCATTGATTCCAGCTGCCATGACAAAACGCTGATTTTAACAATGTCATGATCTAAAAAATTGAATGGTACACAAATCAAAATGAGTCCACCTTGAACGTCTTCTCCATTCCAGAGTTTATCTCTAACATTCTTCATGATAGGACTGCCTCCTTCCCAGAATGGACTATCGAGCTTCACTGGTGACGGTTTAGGTTACAGTATCGCAGAAGTTTCTGCGAACATTGGTTATTTTTGGAGGCCACATCCCCCCCGGGGGTCGACGTAGAGAACTCTGCGAAGCTACTGGCTAGGATCTGTACCTAGGCAGTCTCGGCCACGGGGGTATAAAATTTATGAACTTGGTGGTTCTGAAGGCTCTGGGAAAGGTCACTTATTGGCCGGCCCCGGAGTCTGGCACGTCCTAGCACGGCGTGGTTCTAGTAACCCGGGAGTCTCCCCCGGGGTCGCTGGGT